TTAAAGCCATAAGGGGAAGACATCAACTCACTTATAAAGGCACATAAATCAGAATAATGTCAGCTCTCCAAGCAACCCTAAAAGGTATAAAAATGTGGGATGATATATTTCAAGACTTGAAAGCAATTAACTCAACTAGTGCTGCTATTTCCAGGAGAGTTGTGCTGTGAAGTTGGCAAGGAAGTAAGGACATTTCAAGATAAATACAAACTAAGCCTGGTCATGACCACCAAAGAAGATAACGAAATTAATATAATGTACACAGGAGGAAGGTCTCCTGGTAAGTGCCTCCTCAATGGCAAGACTGTAAATAACCAGCTAGGTTCTCTAGAAACCTGGAGAATTTAGTACGTGAGTGGAAAGAGGTCCATCTGGCCAGATAAAGGCTACCACATGAAGAGGAAATGACTTGGGTTGTTGTCCTCATCAATATGGACAAGTTCAACAGAAACACCTGGGCTAATTCCCAGAATCTGACAGTGCCCTGGTACCTCCAAGTCCTAAGCACAGGACAGATGATGCTTCCCTCTTAAAGCTGAAAGCAGGGAGGGAAGCTGATAGAAATGGACAAGAAAGGCACTTCCTTATGCTGAAAAGAGTTACCACAACAGGGGCCTGGAATGTGAACACTAAACAGAGCTGTAAGAACCAGCTTGCTCAGGCTTGAGCTCGGTCACCTCAGGTGGGAAGTCACTGAACTGGCAGAAACACATTGGACAGGAACACAAGAACTCATAGTAAGTGGACCTAATATTAAAACTAAGATGGAGAGGGAAAACATACAGCAGGTGTAGCTTTAGTGATATCCAGTTGGACCCAAAAATGCACACTCAGGTACAGACCTGTAAATGAACAAGTTTTATCAGTCAGATTTCAGACAATGACACATACAGTCACTATCATACAGGTATACCCGCACACAGTGGAAGCAGAAGAGGAAGACATCAACAGTTTCTACACAGATCTACAAATCGAGGTTAGCAGGGCATATAAGAATAAGAATGGAAAACTAATCATTATGGGTGCCTTCAATGCAAGAGTTGGATCTGGAGAAAGAATGGATTATTGTGTCATGGAAACATATGGATTGGGACAATGGAACGTTAGAGGCAACAACTGCTTGACCTATGCTATGCAAATGATTTGTCCATAGCCAACACAAAATTCAAGCAGGCCAAACCATCAAGATTCTGGACATGGGAATCACCTGACAAATGTACATACAGCCAAATTGACTACATTTGGTTTCCTGGTCATCAGGAAACTCATATCTAGTATCCAAAACAGCAGATCATTCCCTAGTGCTGTCTTAGGGTCAGATCACCAACTTGTTATAGCCAACATTCAACTCAGGAGAGGCATGCCAGGCAAGACAGAGATAGACAGTAAACAACTGATGAACCGAGCTATACGGAGAGAGTATAAAAGAACCACTGAGAAAAAGATGAGGGAAATCACTAAACAATCCTTTACAGATATAGAAAGCAAATGGGAGAAAATCAAAAGAGCTATACGGGAGGCTTCAAAGGAGACATTTGTTATGCGAAAAGGACAACACCAGTAGAATGGCTTTCTGCAAAGATGATCAATCTGGCAGAAGAAAGAAGGAAGCTAAAAAGCAAACAGAGAGGCAAACCACAGGCAGCAAAACACCACAACTATGCAGGGACATCAAAAGAAGAGCAAAGAAGGATAGAGAGCTGTGGATACAAAGTCTATGCAAAGAGGTCAAAGAGGCTAGACTCTATAATAAAACACATCTTGTTTACAAAGTTATCAGACGAATAGCTGCCAGATAGGCTTCTCAGACTTTATGATTAAAGATCGGCAAGGTCATTTATTAACAGAACCAGGGAAAGTAAAGCAAAGATGGAGACAATACTTTGACATCCTATACAATGGCTCTAATGCTGCCAACATAGACTAGAATGAGAAACACATCAGCAGCCACTCCAACACCAGAGATGATGAAAATATTAAATATTGACAGGAGCAAGATAGAGGAAGCTATCAAGAGAGCAAAATTCAGGAAAATCTCGGGAATGGATGGCATGACAGTGGAGGAGCTGGAGGCAGCTACAATAGATTCAAGAGCTAGGCTGAGGTGCTTCTCAAAACTCTTCAGGGAGATATGGGAACATGAACCAATTCCTATGGAATGGAAGCACTCAGTCATAATTCCCACACACAAGAAGGACAAGCTGAGTGCTCAAATTACAGGGGCATTAGTTTGTTGTGCCATAGCAGCAAGATCTTCTCCTCCATTATCCTGCAAAGGATCAAGGGCAGAACAGAGAAAATCCTAGCAGAGGCCCAGTGCGGATTTAGAACTAACAGGAGCACAATTGATCAGATCTTCCCTTTAAGGCAACTGGCAGAAAAATACAAAGAATCTGGGAAAGACATATGCCTGTTACATTGACTTCAGGAAGGCATTTGATAGCATTTGGGGGAAAGGACTTTGGGAAACAATGAGGTTCTACAGATAACCCGAGAAAAATCATAAGAATCCTAGAGAATGCCTATAAACATATTTTTGCATTGGTCAAATCTGTGGAGAACTAAGCAATCAGTTTAAGCCAATCATAGGAGTGTTGCAGGGATGCATCCTCTCACCACTCCTCTTTAATATATTCCTGGAATTAATAATAGCAACAACCCTGGAGGATGAGGAGATAGGCATGCAGACAGTTGTGCGAATCAATAACTTGCATTCCACTGATGATACCGCACTACTTGCTGAAAGTCCAAATGAGCTACAGGCCACAGTAAATAGAGTGGTGGAAGTAAATGAAAAACCTTGGCATGAAAGTAAACATTGAGAAGACTGAGATACAACACATGGGAAGTGCATACAGGGTTTTAACATTGTAATAAAGAATCAGAACCTCAGTCAACTTTGTCTATCCGGGAGGAAACCTCAATTCAAAGGAGGGACTTATTTCGGACATCAAGAGGGATGTGAGGGCTGCATTCCAGGCACTAGAAAAAGTTTAGTCAGCAGCAAGAGACATAATGACAACAACAAAATTATAATTCTATGAGACACTAGTCTTGAGCTGCCTTCTTCACAACTCTGAAAGCGGGACAACGAAACGCTCCTCAGAACAGCAGTTGAATGTGTTTGAGATGGCATGTCTCAGGAGGATTCTAGGTGTCACAAGAAGATAGGCTACACAGTGATAACATTAAGACACATCTCCAGAAATCTTTAATAAATAAATAAATTTAAAAAAAGAACACAAAAAAAAGAAAAGAAAAAAAAGACACATCTCCATCTACAGAAGGAAGTAAACTACTGGATACAGACAAGGCACGTGAGATACTTTGGCCATGTTATGAGAATAAATGATGGCAGATACCTGCTTGGAGGAGTGCACAGGATAAGGCAAAGAGGAAGGCCTCCCCACCTCCCCCTCCCAAAAAAAACTCTGGATAGACAGCATAAAGGAATACTGTGGAACCTTGGGTATGACAATAATACAAGCAGCTAGGACTGCCCAGGCTAGGAATAACTGTAGAACCACCATAAATGAGCTGCCCATGCATGCTTAAGCATTGCAAAGGCATGGATGATGATGACGACGACATAGGAGAAAGAAAGATGCTCTCGGTCACAAGGGTATGGGAAATAACAAATTTTACTAGAAGAAGAGATATACAAGAGAGGAAGGAATCCATTGGTGTTCAACATAATAAACCAGAAAACCTCAACAATAATGGAGGAGAAAGAAAGAGCAAAACATCTGACAACAGGCCAGTAAAACACTTGTCTCTTAAGTATAAAGACCTCAGTTCAGTCCCCAAAACCCACATAGATAATAGAGCCAGGCAGAAGCTGGGAAGATGGCTCAGCAATTAAGATCACCCACATGAGGAGGCTCACAATCACCTGTAAGTCCAGCTCTAGGGAATCTTACTCCCTCTTCTGGCCTCTACCAGCACTATACTCATGTGCACATACCCACACACAAACACACAAAATTAAAAATGAAATCTTTAAAACATAAAAGCCAAGTGTAACAATACATGCTTATGATCGCTGTGCTAGGAAGGATAGACATGTGGGTACCTAGGACTTAGATATCAGCTGACCTAATCTACTTTGCAAGTTTCTGGCTCTGGAGGGTTGTTGTATACAAAAATATGTGGATGTGTGCACACGCACACACAAACTTAGTAAGGGTTGTAGAGATAGCTCAGTGATTGAAATGTTTACAATGCTAGAATGAAGACCTGAGTCCAGCTCCCTAACACCCACATAAAATATCGGATGGACATCAAAGCCCACTTGTAATTCCAGCCTGAGAATGCAGACAAGGGATCTCCAGAACACGTTGTCTAGGAAGATTCATCATATTGGTGAGCTCTGAGTTTGATTGAGAGCCCCTGACTCAGTGAATAAAATGGTAGAGAAATCAAAGTTGATCTATGACATCAACCGCAGGCCTCCACATGCAGACGTGCACACAGATGTGTCTATACATAGGCAAACACATACACTTACACATGCATGCCACACACATGCACCTGAAAATAAAAAATAATAATAGCATTTTTCTTGAATAAAATAACAAATATTTTAATATTGCATTGGTGTTGCTTTCTGATTAAACCAATGATCAAATTCAAACATGCATGCTACACACAGGAATACAAAGGTTAATTTAGGAAATACTCAGACTTTTTGCTCTGTAAATCTCCCCCATGACTTCCCCAGATGAATTTATAGGTTGACCTAGAAATGTATTTCAGACTGGGCAGATAATGGTCAAGGGAAACTTTTAGATTCAAAATGTGGTTAAACGTGTTGTGTGAACAACATCTCTGCCTTGAAGCCCAAGGTTAGTGGTGAGGGAAAAGCTGTGAATCTTTCTGTTTAAAAAATGTGTGAAAGTCCCATGATGGGTGGTGTTGGGGCTCACCCACCACATCCTGTGCATCTCCCTCAGCCACTGGACTCAGTCCACACACAGGTCAGCATTGGTCTTGCCAGTGGAATGCTGCGGATACTCACTGCCCTGCTGGGCCTGGGTGAGTCCTTCAGGAAAGGGGGATGGAACCAGAGCAGGAGTCGGGGAGGCATTGTATCATTATTGTTGTTTTCTAGGGCTATGTCTGAGCCAGAGGATCAACACAGAGAAACGTAAGTGCTTCCTTGAGAGCCTCAGGATTGGTCTCATGCTTTCATTTCAAGGGTCCATCTGAGAGCATCGAGAGACAGGCGAGCATTCTGCCTCACTCTGATGGCCACAATCTGGTGGCTGCGGGAAAGTGGGGAAGATAAGTAATGGCTCATCTGGGACTCATGCCCCTGGTTCCTTTTCAGAGAGTCTCCAGAAACCTATCATCTGGGCCGAACCCAGTACCAGGGTCACAAATGGAAATGCTGTGACCATCTGGTGCAAGGGACATCACACTGCTACCCATTATCAACTGTATTTTGAAGGAAGCTTTTCAGCCTTGGAGAGACCTAAGCCAAGTAGAGCAACAAATAAAGTCAACTTCACCATTCCACAAATGACCTCACATACCGCAGGGAAATACACCTGCTGCTATCAGAGTGGGGAGCGTCAATCAAAGAGCAGCAAAGGCCTGAATCTAATAGTTACCGGTGAGTGTCTTGTTATTAGATGTAAAGTCAGCTTGGTATGAATCATGGAGAATGCCAGTGTTCATAAATACTGAAAACTCTTTTATTTCCCCTTGCCATTCTTTTTTATTAACTTTTTTTATTTTTTAAAAAGAAAACAAATTGTATTTTTTTTTCATTTTGCATGCCAATCCCAGTTCCCACTCCCTCCCATCCTCCAATTCTCTCTACCTATCTGCCACCACACCCCCCATCCACTCCTCAGAGAGGGTAAGGCACATTGTTTGGAAAAGTTCCAAGGCCCCCCCTACCATATTTAGGTTTAGCAAGGCATACATCCAAAGAAAATAGGTTCCCAAAAAGCCAGTACAAGCAGTATGGATAAATACTGGTGCCACTGCCAGTAGCCCCTCAGTCTGCCCCAGTCATGCAACTGTCAACCACAAAGGGACTAGTTTGGTCCTATGCTGTTTCCTTCCCTGTATGGCTAGAGTTGGTGAGCTCCCATTAGCTCAGGTAAACTGTTTCAGTGGACGCCTCCATTATGATCTTGACCTCTTTGTTCATATTCGCACACTTCCCACTCTTCAACTGAACGTTGGGAGCTCAGTCCAATGCTCTGATGCAGATCTCTGCCTCTGTATCCATCAGTTGCTGGATAAAAGTTCTATGGTGATATTTAAGATATTCATCAGTCTGACTACAGGGCAAGGCCAGTTTGGGCATTCACTCCTCTATTGCTTAGAGTCTTAGCTGGGGTCATTCTTGAGGATTCCTGGTTATTTCTCAAGTGCCAGGTTTTTTGCTAGCCCCATAATGGCTCCCTTAATCAAGATCCTCTTTCCTTGCTCTTGTCTCTGTCCTTCCTCCATCTTGACTATCCCATTCCCTCAAGTTCTTCTCCTCCCTCCCCTTCTCCTGTCATCTTCCCCTTCCATCCTCCCTACTTCCCCCAACCCCATACTCCCAATTTTATCAGGTAATCTTGACTGTTTCCCCTTCCAAGGCAAATCTGTATATGTTTCTCTTAGGGTTCACTGTGTTAGTTACCTTCTCTAAACTCAATAACCTTTACAGCTAGTATCCACTTATAAGTGAGAACATACCGTGTCAATCTTGTTTATTCTTCTCCAAGAACCAGCTCTTTGTTTCATTGATTCTTTAGACTGTTTTCTGTGTTTCTATATTGTTGATTTCAGCCCTCAGTTTGATTATTTCCAGTCTTCTACTCCTCCTGGGTGAGTCTGCTTCTTTTTTTCTAGAGCTTTAAGGTGTGCTGTTAAGTTTCTAATGTGAGCTTCTCCATTTTTTTAATGTGGGCACTTACTGCTATGAACTTTCCTCTTAGCACTGCTTTCATAGTGCCCCATAGGTTTGGGTATGTAGTGTCTTTATGTTCGTTGAATTCAAGACTTTAATTTCTTTCTTTATTATTTCCCTGATGCAGGGGTGGTTCAGTAGTTGACTGTTCAGTTTCCATGAGCTTGTAGGCTTTATGGGGGTAGAATTTTTGTTAAATTCTAACTTTATTCCATGGTGATTCAATAAGACACAGGTGGTTACTAATTTTTTTTTGCTTTGTTCCTGAGTATGTGATCAATTTTTAAGAAGGTTCCATGAGATACTGAGAAGAAGGTATATTCTTTCCTATTTGGGTGGAATGTTATGTAGATGTCTGTTGAGTCCATTTGATTCATTACCTCTATTAATTCTCTTATTTCTCTGTTAGGTTTCTGTCTGATTGACCTGTCCATTGGTGAGAGAGGAGTGTTGAAGTCTCTACTATTAGTGTGTGGGGTTTGATGTGTGCTTTGAGTTCAAGCAATGTTTCTTTTACATATGTGGGTGCTTTTATATTAGGGGCATAGATATTCAGGATTGAGACTTCATCCTGATGAATTGTTCCTGTTATGAGTATAAAGTGTCCATCTCCATCTCTTCTGATTGATTTTAGTTTGAAGTCAATTTTCTTAGATATTAGTATAGTCACACCTGCTTGTTTCCTGGGTCAGTTTGATTGAAAAACCTTTTCCCAATCCTTTACTCTGAATAAATGTCTGTCTTTATGGTTGTGGTGTGTTTCTTGTAAACATCAGAATGTTGGATCCTGCTTTCGCATCCATTCTCTTAACCTGTGTCTTTTTATAGGTGAATTGAGACCATTTATATTAAGTGATATTAATGACCAGTGGTTGTTAACTCCAATTTTTTTTTTTGGTGGTAGAGTTTGTGTGTTTCCATTCTTTTTCTTGTGCTTGTGGAGGGTTGTTAGATGTCTAAGTTATTGTGGGTGTTGTTGGGTTCCTTGGGTTGTGATATTCCTTCTATTACTTTCTGTAAGGCTGGATTTGTGGCTACATATTGTTTAAATTTGTTTTTATCCAGGTGTACCTTGTTTTCTCCATTGATGGTGAAAGAAAGCTTGGCTGAGTATAGCAGTCAAGGCTTACATCCATGTTCTCTTAGTTTCTGCAGCATATCTATCCAAGAACTTCTGGCTTTCATGGTTTCCATAGAGAAGTCTGGTGTAATTCTGATAGGTTTACCTTTATAAATTACTTGACCTTCTTCCTTTGCAGCTCTTAATATTCTTTCTTTATTCTGTATGTTTTGTGTTTTGATTATTATATGGTGAGGGAATTTTTTTTGATCCAGTCTATTTGGTGTTCGGTATGCTTCTTGTACCTTCATAGCAATATCCTTCTTTAGGTTGGGAAAGTTTTCTTCTATAATTTTGTTGAATATATTTTCTGTGCCTTTGAGCTGTAATTCTTTTCCTTCTACCCCTATTAGTCTTAGGTTTGGTCTTTTCATGGTATCCAAGATATCCTGGATGTTTTGTGTTAAGAATTTGTTGAATTTGCTGTTTTCTTTGATCAATGAGTTTATTTCCTCTATAGTATCTTCAGTGTCTGAGATTATTTCTTCATTATCTTGAATTCTGTTGGTTATACTTGTCTCTATAATCCCTGTTCATTTACCCAGATTTTCCATATCCAGCTGTCCCTCAGTTTGTGTTTTCTTCGTTACCTCCATTTCAGTTTTCAAGTCTTTTTTTTTCTTTTTTTTAATTAATTTATTTATTTATTGAAGATTTCTGTCTCCTCCCCGCCACTGCCTCCCATTTCCCTCTGCTCCCCCAATCAACTCCCCCTCTCTCATCAGCCTGAAGAGCAGTCAGGGTTCCCTGCCCTGTGGGGAGTCCAAGGACCTCCCAGCTCCTTCCAAGTCTAGTAAGGTGAACCTCTAAACAGCCTAGGCTCCCACAAAGCCAGTACGTGCAGTAGGATCAAAACACAATGCCATTGATCTTGACTTCTCAGCAGTCCTCATTGTCTGCTATGTTCAGCAAGTCCAGTTTTATCCCATGCTTTTTCAGACCCAGGCCAGCTGGCCTTGGTGAGTTCCCGATAGAACATCCCCATTGTCTCAGTGTGTGGGTGCAACCCTCGCGGTCCTGAGTTCCTTGCTCGTGCTCTCTCACCTTCTGCTCCTGATTTGGACCTTGGGGTTTCAGTCTGGTGCTCCAATGTGGAACTCTGTCTCTGTCTCCTTTCATTGCATGATGAAGGTTAATATCCAGGAGGATGACTATATGTTTTTCTTTGGGTTCACCTTCTTATTTAGCTTTTCTAGGATCACGAACTATAGGCTCAATGTCCTTTATTTATGGATAGAAACCAAATATGAGTGAGTACATCCCATGTTCCTCTTTTTGGGTCTAGCTTACCTCAATCAGGATAGTGTTTTCTATTTCCGTCCATTTGCATGCAAAATTCAAGAAGTCATGTTTTTTTACTGCTGAGTAGTACTCTAATACATATATATTCCATACTTTCTTCATCCGTTCTTCGATTGAAGGGCATCTAGGTTGTTTCCAGGTTCTGGCTATTACAAACATTGCTGCTATGAACATAGTTGAGCATATACTTTTGTTGTATGATAGGGCATCTCTTGGGTATATTCCCAAGAGTGGTATTGCTGCGTCTAGGGGTAGGTTGATCCCAAATTTCCTGAGAAACCACCACACTGCTTTCCAAAGTGGTTGCACAAGTTTCCATTCCCGCCAGCAATGGATGAGTGTACCCCTTTCTCCACAACCTCTCCAGCAAAGGCTATCCTTGGTGTTTTTGATTTTAGCCATTCTGACAAGTGTAAGATGGTATCTTAAAGTTGTCTTGATTTGCATTTCCCTGATCACTAAGGAAGTTGAGCATGACCTTAAGTGTCTTTTGGCCATTTGAACTTCTTCTGTTGAGAATTCTCTGTTCAGCTCATTGCCCCATTTTATAATTGGGTTGATTAGCCTTTTACAGTCTAGTTTCTTGAGTTCTTTATATATTTTGGAGACCAGACCTTTGTCTGTTGCGGGGTTGGTGAAGATCTTCTCCCAGTCAGTAGGTTGCCTTTTTGTCTTAGTGACAGTGTCATTTGCTTTACAGAAGCTTCTCAGTTTAAGGAGGTCCCATTTATTCAATGTTGCCCTTAATGTCTGTGCTGCTGGGGTTATACAAAGAAGCGATCTCCTGTGCCCATCTCCTGTAGGGTACTTCCCACTTTCTCTTCTATCAGGTTCAGTGTGTTCGGGCTGATATTGAGGACTTTAATCCATTTGGACTTGAGTTTTGTGCATGGTGATAGATATGGGTCTATTTTCATTCTTCTACAGGTTGACATCAAGTTGTGCCAGCACAATTTGTTGAAAATGCTCTCTTTTTTCCATTGTATACTTTTAGCTCCTTTATCAACAATCAGGTGTTCATAGGTTTGTGAGTTAAAGTCTGGGTCTTCTATTCGGTTCCATTGGTCGACTTCTCTGTTTTTATGCCAATACTAAGCTGTTTTCAATACTGTAGCTCTGTAATAGAGTTTGAAGTCAGGGATGGTAATGCCTCCAGACAATCCTTTATTGTATAAGATTGTTTGGCTATCCTGGGTTATTTGTTTTTCCATATAAAGTTGATTATTGTCTTCTCAAAGTCTGTGAAGGATTTTGATGGGATTTTCATGAGATTGCATTG